TCTTTAAGAAAAACGTTGATTGTAAAGATTTTAAACCTTTAAAAATCTCAAAAAACGGCAGAGCACAAATCACATATGCTAACTAGAGCTTTCTTCTACATTTTACAGTGCCTCTCAAACCCAAGAAAGTTTAAATTAAAATTAAACAAAAAATATCTCACATAAAAATAATAATTAGGTATATTGTTGCTTACACTTATCTGTTTTTTTTTTTCAATGTCCCTTTAGCCCTTTTAAGTATCTATCAACACAATATTCTCTACATAAAAATTTCTAGTATAAATTTTTCATTTTCAGAATTACCGGAAAATTTCAAAAATTTACCGGTAAGTTTACCGAATGTTTTTTTGTCAATTTATCGGTTAACCGGTAAATCGGTAAACCGGTATACAATCCCTACCACGGACCTGTCCTAGGACAGAACACCCATGAATGAATGAATGAAAGAGTGCAACACAAGTTTGTTGAATTAAAGGTATAAGAAGTTTTTATTTGTCACACCCAACAACACTAATAAATCATTTTTATGAGTTTAATTCGATTTTAAGAAAATATTTAGTATAATATAAGAATTAAAAGAGTAGGTTCAATTATTCTTATGTATTGCAATTCCTATTCTTACTACTGTATATTGTTCACTTATTCATTTTTCCTCATTAATAAGAATTTTTTCCTCTCAAATAAAATAAAAACAAAATCTTTAAATATCAGTAACAAAACATTAATTAAAGAAAACTCCGTACGTTTTCGACCTTCACCAAGGCTTGTCTCAGGTTTTTAACGAAAAAGAATTTCAAAATGGAATGTTAGAACGATAACATTCGATTGATTTTTCGAATGTTATAGTTCTAACATTCGAAAAAATCAATTTTTAAAGTTTCGAATAACTCACAACGTAACCCATATTTATACGGTAGATAGATTAAAATCGTAAATGTATGGCCATTTCACACATATACAATTTTAAGATGCACAGTACATAGTGTAGGAGATGAATAAATATAGGTTAACTTTGCTCGAATTTTTCATGAAGGTACCTCCACGCATGCGATAATGTATTGAAATCTTTAAAGTTAATACACTTGCCGGTTAGGCTGGCTTTATATATTTCCAAAGCCTCCAATGTACCGTACCTCGAATATATAATCTTCCGCAACCACTTTTGCAACACATTAATAGTGGCTTTAATAAATCTATCTTCACTAAAATGACATTTATGTTGATCCTGATTTTTGATGGATTATTTTCTCTATAACTTATATGGCTATACTTCGATACTAAATTCAAGTGAAATTCTGGAAAGTAGATAAAACTGATAAGTAGTTGAAATGGTTAATTTTTGGCGTTTGTCCAAGTTTATTAGAAAATTGAAGCTTGCATTAGCATAGTCATCTACAAGATCAGCTTAAACAACGATCATGCGAGTAATTTTCATAATTGTCTAAAAGTGTTTTGCTTTGATGTTGACAATTTGTAGTCTGGCTTAGGCTGCGTACACACTAAGCGTTTTTAAACGCGCGTTTTAAAGAACTAAGAGTTCTGTATAGCCATACACACTCAAACGCGCGCTTTTGGCCAAGCGCGCGTCAAACGCTCATTTATAGATTTTTCTTAAAACGCGCGTTTTGCGGGCGTCAGCCGAGCGCTTTGAGATATATGTGCTGCCATGTTACTGTACATTCGATCACGCATTTTGCGGGCGTCAGCCGAGCGCTTTGAGATATATGTGCTGCCATGTTACTGTACATTCGATCGCGCGTTTTCGTGTAGAGTGGACGTACTTTGGCCGAAATGGAAAACGATCATTTCGATACTGATCTATTTATTGATGAAATCTAAAAGAGACCAACCATTGTCAAATGATTTTATAGATATTTTAAAAAAATTAAAAAAACTTGGGTTTATTTTGTCTTAGTTTTGGATACAACGTCGCAAACATTCCATGTGTCAGTCTATCTCGTAATATTGGGTGCACCCAAAATTCTCTTTGCCTCTGCCATCGTCTTTCATAGCGACGATGGAGGAGGGGCACACAAGCAATTACTTTCACGTCCATTTCCAAACTGAGCCAGTGCGTATGCTCCACTAAACGGTCGTCTAACGCCGAGCTAACGCGCGGTGTGTACGCTGCTAACGCGCGTTTAACGCAACGCAAAACGCCTAGTGTGTACACAGCCTTAAGCGAGTCAGACAAATCAGAAAGTATCTCACTTCTATCTTGTTCCAATATGAATCTGAATGGTAATCTTTTTTACTATTTCTTTTGAATGTAATTTTATAAGAGATGGTTTATGACCAGGTTACATCTGAATTGACGTTCGAAAATAAAAATTGCATCTCCATTACTGCTTTCCCAACATCTGGAAATAACCATCATGTAAGATTCATAATTCATTCATAGAATAGAAAATGGTTATTGAATCACGATTATTTTAGATTAAACTTATAATTCAACTTATAATTTATTACTTTTATTTCCATTTATTTTATTAAGTATTTTAGTAACAAAAAATACTTTCTATTTACATAAATTACAGATGTATTTATAAAAGCAATAATAAAATTGATTTTATTTTGATAACCACAAAATACTATTTTTATTCATACGTTTATTTAAAAAATCCAGCAACGAGTTGTTTAACTGTTCCGGCAACATTTGGCGTCGCCATCTGTTATGACATTTTATTGAAAAACTTTTTATATTTTTAACTGTTATAAAATGGCAAAACGCTTAATTTTGAGGAGGGAAATGGGATTTCTAAAGAAAAAAAATG